TTGAAGGCACATTTGCTAAGATTTTACATCCTAACGGAATGTGATACTGTTAAGAATGTTAAAAATAAATGGTATTACAATAAAGATGACATTACAATACCAGAAGGTAAATTCCATTACATTTATTTAAACAATACCTGGTTGTCTGGGTGTAATTATTGTTGATATAACTACAAGTGGCCTCTGGCAAATCCCATAAAACCCGCTAGGGTTTTATGGTAGATTTGCCAGAGGCCACTTGTAATTATATCAACAATAATTACATCCAGACAACCAGGTATTTTTTATATTTAGATATTTTTCTTTTTTAAGACATATTCCTACAAAAACCATTTGCCCTGCCTCAAAATACATTTCAGGCGGCCATTTTGTTTGTTTACATATTCCTACACCTGAAACAAGCAGTTGTAATTATAGTCGAGCAGTTGTAATTATAGCCTATATAATTACACTTGTCCTCTAACACTGTTGTAATGGGACGGCGCGGGGACAAATGTAAATATAGTGCTATGAATGCCATAATGGATGAATGATCCCGTCCCCCAATGCCTCTGGCTGTTGCGAGGACGTATATCCCAAACAAACAAGCTATGAATGTTGTTTACGTGCTGTAGAAACTAACTGTTAATATGTCACCACTTCAACTTGAATATTAAAACTGCATATTAATGGAACAGCGCACAGTGAGAGACAACACCATGATCACGACAGGCTTTGTTGTGACGTCACATTGCTATTACGTCACAAAGCGTCATAGTATAATGCTGCTATGCGTTGCAGTCTTTACACTTCTTCCGGTGGGATTTTGTTCAATGAAAAGAACCAACGGCATAAACGGGATGTATTCACATTTCCGTTACGATTGCCATACATGTTGCCATACACTACCTATGTGTACCCTTTTTCATTGAATGAGGGAGATACTTATTGCTTGGCAAATCCTAATGCACGTGGCCACGCAAATGACGCCTTAATTAAGCATTGAACTGTTTTTGCATGGCATTTATGATCTATTTGAATGACACAGCTTTGCAAGCAAACAACATAATGCGCGCTAGCATAAATACCATACAAAAACAGTTCATTACTTATATTTACGTTTTCTCTTCCTATTATGTTCTTTTTTAACTTATAATTTAAATTTAAAATTAAAAATGCCCGCCTTATCGACAGTCCACACAATTTCGTTCGATAATTAGAACAGCGTATTGTCGCGTGCTGATTGGCAAACAAAGCAGTACTTTGAAATATTAACAAACACTTCAATTTTATTCCACAATTCAGTATCAATACAATTAATTGCGTATGATATGTCCGATTTTTCCCCGGAACAAATATCGCGCATGGATAAATACAGTGAACACCGTGAATCCAACCTTGATCTCCACGAGGGAGTTATTTTCGGAAGTTTTCGTGAAGAATCCAGACGTTAATTTATTTGTTGATTATATGGGAATCTGATTACACTCGGTAGATTCTATAAAAGCCTCGTTATTTGACATGTCGTGATCAGAAACTGGGGAAACCATGGCTGCGAGACGCGTGAAACTGATATCGTTTGAAGTGAGTGATCTTGCGACGGAGCACATGGGTTCGTTACAAATGTCTGAAATGTTTATGTGTGCTATGACTCCTATATCAGTAGGTCTGTAACATATGTGTCAGTAGGTCTATAGTAAAGTGTATTTCAGACATTTGTAACGAACCCCTGTTGATCAGTGCAGTGTAACAGACGATATTTCTGATAAATTGCACGAATGTAAAATTGTTTCCATTGCCGGCATTGGTGATTTCAACCGATGTGCATTTTGTACGATAAAATGTCGATATTGCAGACCCTGGTCTTGTTTTTGTTGTAATAAAAGCATTTTTTATTTACTTTTTTCGTTTGCACATTAATTTACAATGACATTGTCCAGTCTCACAATGACCAGCGGTATTTCAACAGCCGTCATGTTTATTTACATTGAATATTGTAGTTCCGGTCAGTGTTGTACTAATACGCTAAGAATTGTGTCTCGTGCTGCATGGTAATTTAAGTCCCATCAACGACACCGCTTTCAAAGAGGCTATATAGTGACAATGCCATGCAAATGTAAATAAAATTAACATTCGACGTAATTTAATCATGTGACACCAATCAATTTGACATGCACGTGCAAGGTTTGCAAATACACTGAACATTCCCCTGTAAGCTTTCTATTACGATCAATACACTGAACACTCCCCTGTAAGCTTTCTATTACGATCAATACACTGAACATTCCCCTGTAAGCTTTCTATTACGATCATTACATTTTGGTTGCTTGCGGATTTTGTGTTGGACCAGAGTTGTCCGATCATGAAATTAGGTCGGACCTAGCAATCTGATGTTGCTTTCATGCGAGCCTTGACAAAGCCTTGCAAGGCCTGCATAAACATTTGCAGGTTCGCCAGGATTTATTCCCTAAATGTCACATTGAAAACAGACAAGCCGGTTATTCCGCATAAACGAACATGCATAGAAAACACGGTAATCTCTATGTAGTACATTATGCCTTACATTAACTGATTATATTCAATTATTTTCTTATAATTCCGAAGTGCTGTAAGCATTCATTGGTTGATCTGTATTTGAGTACTGTGTTTATGTTGTTCAGCACCTACCAATTTAAAAAGGATGAAAAATAAGAGGTATATATTAAAAACAAGTACCTGGAAAATGAGTCAGGAAATTAAGACAAACACTTCTTTCTAAGTAAGAACGAAAGGTCGACAAAAGAAACCGAGGGAGCACCTAAACAAAGCATGACGCATCATAAACAACAAAGGAAACATGACCACGAAATCACGTGACCCGGAAGTGTGGCTATTTCTTTCACCACATATGACATCCGTCAAGATATCTCCCGCTAAATAGAGGAAGATAATCATGAATTTCAGCGATAATCGGAAAAACAACGAAACAAATTTTCATTCCGGTGATAAAATGTATTCAACGTGGATTGAATAATCTATGGTGGAAAGTCTACTAAATAGATGATAATTAAAAGATAACAGCAAAAACAATTCATAGAAAGTACAAAGTGGCGGTAAAAGTTCCGGTGTCATATATAACATTCGCTTCTGGTTTAGATTCAACGCACATGATTCAGGCATGTATTTCACTGTTGAATTGTAGACTACTCTACGTGTTATCAGCCAGTTCTGGTAATATATCCCTTGTGACCACATGTCGCAGACGTGTGACCTCGTTTACTGTCAGGATAATTTCCGTTAACAGTGTATTTGTCGACGAGTTCCAGTGATGACCGACAATGTCAGCATTCAAGGACAAAAACCGTCTAAAATGGTGCCATACACTTTAACAGGCGCATTTCGAAAACCATAAAACAAATTGAGCGGCGCCAATAAAATGGCACCACACAGTTAGAGTGGAATCGTTCCGTAACTGTTACAGCGTGACAGTGAGCTATGGCTCTCCGTTTTATAACTATTTAATATTGGTGAAACTGAATAAAAATAACCTGATAATGGCCGTGCGAATCTGCTGTAAGCGTGTCTCCAACACACGACATTTCCCGCGCGAAACAGCGGCATGGTAGCAGCGCACCCTCCGGGTCTGATGAGGGTTCCACGTGAGATTGCGCCAGTCTGAGACTATCTAAATCTAGTGCTGATGCTACCATAGTCTGGTTACTACCACCTCCTGATGAAACCATTTCAGTAACGCTGATTGAGTGGGACGCCAACGAATGTCAACACGAAACCAGATCTTTTTGTCAGATCTTGGATTCGAACGCTTAACAGTACGTCAACTAGTATTGCAGCGCCTAGTTTCGGTGTCATCTCCATTATTTAAAACATGCGGATCGAGAATGTTTGAGTAATTGCCAGCATGCCAGGACGACGGTGAAGATATATTGTAATGGGACTATTAAAATATGTGAAACTCAGATATAACGGTAGTTACGCGTAGTCAGGATATGTTTGGCGCGTGCAATGTGTCTTCACAAAACACAAGAGCATTCAAATTTAGGTCCGGAGTTGTTAATTATAGTTGACAATGTCTGTATCAGTTTGGCGCCAGAATGTACTGAAGGACTTATATGACCTATAGCCCATGTGTTGGCCGGTGATAAACAGGTCAGTCTAATTGTAAATATGAAGGATATTGACAAATAATGGACTGGTCAGTGCCCGCCTGGACACTGGTCATAATCGGACTGGTTCAACTCCGCACCAATCAGGGTATGTAGTAGAATGTTTGTCTTTTCCATATTATATATCGAATTGTAAGGAATAGCCCTACCTGTAGTAAGGGTGAGGCTCTTTTACACCATACTTGAAGGTTTACACAATATTCCTATCTCAGTGAAAGTATTTAATTTTCTTCATGGAAAATAATATGTCCTCCAACGTTTGTCAAACTGTTCAATCCGACAAAAGACAACGCGTATTTTGGATGTTGTAGAATATTTCTTAAAAAATGTTCAGCTTTGTCCTCTCACAGCTATTATTAGCTTCCCAACTCTTGCGAGATTGAATTGTTTACACACAGACGGGTAACATGGCTTGATTTTTTTTCTTTTTTTTTGGGGGGGGGGGGGGGGGGTTTTTTTTTTTTTTTTTTTTTTTGGGGGGGGGGGGGGGCAGTTTTTCTATTGATGTACTGTTTATGAACTCCTAATGACTATTATCCGTACAAAAATACAATGTCTTGCAATGTTTTTGACTCGTGTTACAGCCAATCCGGACTGAACATTAGCAATATCCGGACAGTAAAACTTGACAACAACCTAGCTGAAGTTCGGGGTGCTACTATGCCCACTGAATAAAAGCCGTTTTCCCAGGGTAACAGGAACACGACAGCCTGTAGGTCTGATAAACCGTTTATGACACAAGCACTTGTAAACATGACAGTCCGCGGGTCTGAGTTATTATTTATAGACACGAGTAACTCGTTATCATGGCAACCTGCGGATCTTGGCAATTATTTACAGACACGACTTCTTGTAAACATGACAGTCCGCGAGTCTGGACAATTGTTTACAGACACGCACGACAGTCCGCGGGTCTGGACAATTGGTTACAGACCTGCACGACAGTCTGCGGGTCTGTAAACAATTGTCCAGACCCGCGGACTGGACAATTGTTTACAGACACGCACGACAGTCCGCGGGTCTGGACAATTGTTTACAGACCTGCACGACAGTCTGCGGGTCTAATTAATTATTAACAGACATGAGTACGTGTCAACACGACAGTTCACAGATCTGAGCAATTATTCATCGACACAAGTACTAGTATACGCATGGCTGTTATGTCAATTACGTCTACAAACACGAGTTTTCGTGAACAAGACGATCTGCGGGTCTGGACAATTAATAACAGGCACGAGTACTCCTAAACATGGCGATTGTGCACCGCAGGGCTGACATCGTTAATAGCAATCGAAAGCAGGATATGCGCAGAATGTTGTGAACTTTTTTATCTTTAAATGCAAAATATTAAGTGTTAACGGTAATTATAACGACACAGAACGTGCTATATAACTGCCAGTGTAGTTTATCGACAAAGATAAATTCTGGTAGTAGTGACTTTCTCTAACGTATTGTTCTGGTTGTCGCTTTATCTCTGAAACGTAATTGTTTCTCGCTCCGAGACAAATTGATTTCCGTTTCAAATTTCCGCCAATACTCCAAATCAACCTGTCGACCAAAATGATTTTATTAAAAGCAGCAGAAACACCAAGCGCCTAAAAGTACATAAGCGTATCTAACGGCCCCAGTCCCGGGACACGTAATCTCCGGTACCATACTCAACCATAGCGATCAGTCAACAGTTTAGCTAAATTCTGACGTTTTTGTCTATGCACTAAAGTCAGAAGTCTGTCTGAAAGCGGCCACAAATGTCATTGGTGGCTTGAAGTTCACAAAACTGCGAAACCGGAAACAAAGTCAATGTCTGCAGCACGCATATTCGCAAGCTTTTGATGTTATCATAAGAATGACGTCACGACATGATGCGTCCAGGTTTTGCATTTTAAAAATATTTAATACGATTTTCAAAAAATATCGATAACTTCACAAATGTCTCTGTAGCAATCGAAAGCCAACTGCCATGGCACTTTCATTCCATGTACGATTGATTGATAGTATCTTCTTTTCTTTTTATGTTTTTGAAACTGTCAGCTGTATGTTTTAATGTCAGTGTGATTGGACTGTTCTTATATCAATCTGACAAGGCTATCGGCCACCTTTTAGGTACTAGTAGGCGGCCACCTTTTCGGTACTAATATGCGGCCACCTTTTCGGTACTAGTAGGCGGCCACCTTTTCGGTACTAGTAGGCGGCCATCTTTTCGGTACTAATTTGCTGCTACCTTTTCGGTACTAGTAGGCGGCCATCTTTTCGGTACTAATATGCGGCTACCTTTTCGTTACTAGTAGGCGGCCACCTTTTCGGTACTAGTATTCGGCCATCTTTTCGGTACTAATAGGCGGCCATCTTTTCGGTACTAGTATTCGGCCATCTTTTCGGTATTAGTATTCGGCCATCTTTTCGGTACTAGTATTCGGCCATCTTTTCGGTATTAGTACTCGGCCATCTTTTCGGTACTAGTATTCGGCCATCTTTTCGGAACTAGTATTCGGCCATCTTTTCGGTACTAGTAGGCGGCCATCTTTTCGGTACTAGTATTTGGCCATCTTTTCGGTACTAGTATTCGGCCATCTTTTCGGAACTAGTATTCGGCCATCTTTTCGGTACTAGTATTCGTCCATCTTTTCGGTACTAGTATTCGGCCATCTTTTCGGAACTAGTATTCGGCCATCTTTTCGGTACTAGTATTCGGCCATCTTTTCGGTATTAATATGCGGCCATCTTTTCGGTACTAGTATTCGGCCATCTTTTCGGAACTAGTATTCGGCCATCTTTTCGGTACTAGTAGGCGGCCATCTTTTCGGTACTAATTTGCGGATACCTTTTCGGTACTAGTAGGCGGCCATCTTTTCGGTACTAATATGCGGCTACCTTTTCGTTACTAGTAGGCGGCCACCTTTTCGGTACTAGTAGGCGGCCATCTTTTCGGTACTAGTATTCGGCCATCTTTTCGGTACTAATATGCGGCTACCTTTTCGGTATTATAAGGCGGCCACCTTTTCGGTACTAGTATTCGGTCACCTTTTCGGTACTAGTATTCGGCCATCTTTTCGGTACTAGTATGCGGCCATCTTTTCGGTACTAGTATTTGGCCATCTTTTCGGTATTAGTATTCGGCCATCTTTTCGGTACTAGTATTCGGCGATCTTTTCGGTACTAATATGCGGCCATCTTTTCGGTACTAGTAGGCGGCCACCTTTTCGGTACTAGCATTCGGCCATCTTTTCGGTACTAGTATTCGGCCACCTTTTCGGTACTAGTATTAGGCCACCTTTTCGGTACTAGTATTCGGCCATCTTTTCGTACTAGTATTCGGCCATCTTTTCGATACTAGTATTCGGCCATCTTTTCGGTACTAGTATTCGGCCACCTTTTCGGTACTAGTATTCGGCCATCTTTCGGTACTAGTATTCGGCCATCTTTTCGGTATTAATATGCGGCCATCTTTTCGGTACTAGTATTCGGCCATCTTTTCGGTATTAGTATTCGGCCATCTTTTCGGTACTAGTATTCGGCCATCTTTTCGGTACAAGTATTCGACCATTATTTCGGTACTAGTATTCGGCCATCTTTTCGGTACTAGTATTCGGCCATCTTTTCGATACTATTATGCGACCATCTTTTCGGTACTAGTAGGCGGCCATCTTTTCGGTACTAATATGCGGCCATCTTTTCGGTACTAGTAGGCGGCCATCTTTTCGGTACTAGTAGGCGGTCACCTTTTCGGTACTAGTAGGCGGCCACCTTTTCGGTACTAGTATTCAGCCATCTTTTCGGTACTAGTATTCGGCCATCTTTTCGGTACTAGTATGTGGACAGGAAAGAAGTCACGACCACTAGTTAACGTTAACCATATGACGTAATGAGTATTAAGTTGTGAACATCTTATGGAATTCTAAAGCAGCAACCACATATTTCATGACTATAGGGTTTGTAATTGTGTTATGTTGTCCCTGGTGCACAATAAAGTACCAACGTACCTGGATTAAGGTTTATTTTAGCGATTTTATGTATAATACTTGGAACGTCTCGTGGCGTTTTACAATTGTCACATGTTCGTTATTTCATTTCATCTCTTCCATTAGGATAATTGATCGACAGAACAGATGATATAAGGCGGTCACATTTAAACTCAAATAAGGACAAAATGGCATGGTCGGAAATTTAGTTTTGTCAGCGATGCGACTAGGTACTGGTTATATCTAATTTCATTACTAATATTTCTAGAGTGCATGTGCCTCTCACTACAAAATATTCTTAATAAAATTAATGGTGCAAATAAATCTCCATGTGAGAGGCCAAACACCGGGCCGATCCTCGTTCCACGCCTCTGCATGACTAGCAAGTACATGTGGTGACCCAACCAGTCGTTTCTAAGGACTAAGTATCCAGGGGACAGCAGGACTACGGAGTCAATCATGGTAGCATGACATTGACGTTATGCCCTGTATATGTATACTGTACTAGGATCAACCTTAACGTTAGGCCCTGTAAAATGTATAGAACACTGTTTGATCCTGCCATTACCTCGATGAAATTACCACCACGAACTCCACCACAGTTGATGACAATTTTTAACTGTTCCCTTGATCGGGGTGAAGTATCAATTGCTAATTTACATGACCCGTTTTATCTCCTTTTAATCGTCAAACCATGCTATCAATCACCTGTCCACGTATTACGTCACTGTTTCATACACACGGTCTATACCATTTCATAACAATGCTAAACGAGTGTGTATTGGCTAATGACATCCGCGACAAAATAAAACGCTAGTCTGAATGTCAAAAAAAAATATGGAATCAAAGTAAAAATTGTTTTAATGACTCTGTTATTCCGAAAGGACACGGTATCCGTCTGTTCGTCCGTAAACGTTTCTCCTAACACCACATGCTTTAAGAAGCGTCATTGATTTAGGTGTTTACCCAATTAGATGTAAATACAAATACTACAAACCATGTCTTAAAAAATTGATTTAAAGATGTATTAATGCATGTTTAACAACGACGTATGTACGATTGTTCACGAAAACCAAATTACACAGCAGCAATAGTGCTCGCTAACCTCATCACACGCCGCGCTCTTTAACGTCCTTTACAGCACCGCGATAATTTGCAGAAGCTCCATATCAGTGTCAGATATTGACAGATATTAAACGTCCAGGGCATAACGAGGCAAACAGCAACTGTCTGCGAGCATAAAGCATTTAATGGATAAATGATGGCCGTTCGGAATGTCTCTGTTGCATAGCTTAACGACACTGGTAATTATCTAATGACTGAAATGTTATAAATATTGAATAATCCTGTGTTAATCTCAAACGTATCGGCCCAGTGATTTAATCACTTCTCATCATTTTAAACTGTTGCTCGCATTGAATACCTATTAAAGTGGTGGAATTCGCAGATAAATTTTGTTAATACCATCCTAATGCCCAATCCTCTTTATATCTAAATTTTTCATTTTACGTTCGAAATCTTTGGGAGGACGTTAGGAGTATGTCAGAAGTCAACAACTAATCAATGCATCTAATCTCATTGTATCGTCGTCAATACCAAAAATGGGCGATTTAAAGAGAGACAATTACATTAAGTTAACGAAACTTGTACATCGACCAGGCGGAAGTTGATCTCAAATTATGGGGGCTGTAAAACACGTTTTGATTGGTCGAAACAAATACAGAAAACACTCATATTTCGCGTGATTTGTATTAATGCGTCAATTCGCAAGAGAAGCGATAGCAAATTCAAGCATGTTCTTGATAATATTTCAGACTCTAAACAGTTGTTAATTTCGCGAAACCTTATCATCGCTAACATATCGTTGGAAGGAAAATGGGGGAAAATAAGCATTCGCAAATATTTAGTGAATAGCAGGACGCTTAAAAATCGAAATCGAATTTAACATAACAAATAAACTTGACATTTTCCTAACTGTGTTTACCATTTATACATTACAGGTGTGGCGGCCGATAGCGGCGCCACGTTTGTGACCGCTCTGTACGATATTGGGCGCGGTAACTGGACGGGATGGACCCGAGGGTTCGAGACATACCTTCACCACTTTTCTGTGCTGTTAAAATCAAACCTGACACTGTATATCTTCTGCGAAGTCAAAGTTGCTCACTTTGTCCGACGAGTTCGAACACGTGCCCAACAAACATTCGTACACGTGCTTCCGTTTGAGGACCTCGAGTTCCAGGTTTACAGACAGCCTATCAAACAGGTGATACAGACAGACGAGTTCCGGAAGGACAATGGCATGTTACACCATCCGGAATGTTTCTCTCCTGACTATATTATATTAGTGAACAATAAAATATCGTTTTTGAACACAGCCAGGGCATGGAATCCGTTCCGAACAACCCATTTTTACTGGATAGACGCCGGATATGGACATGGGTTGGAAGTATTTCCGGCAAATAAAGCAACAGCATGGAAACCGGAAAAATTACTAAGAATGACCCGTACAATAACCTATATACAACTCGCCAATCTTACATCATATCACAACAAAACTGATCTGCATAAGGTCAGACAAGGCCCTGCTCTCAGTGGCGGATTCTTTGGTGGGGACTGGTCAGCTGTCAGAGAATACTATCATCTGTACCGGAAGGTGTTTCGCGCATGTCTGGTGGAGAACATTGTCGATGACGATCAAAATATGGCGTTGTACACGTACTTTGAATATCCCGCATTATTTAAATTCGAACAAGGAAGCTGGTTTGATGCTGTCGCACTTTTTTCCTGATTGTTAATGAATAGATATTATGAATCGCTCATGTTACAATGTCATAAAAATTGTATTTTTATTATAATATTTTTTTCTTAAATAAGATGTAAAACGAAAAGAATTATTGAATTCTTTTTAAATCTCAAAGATTTACTTCTTTCATTCAAATCGCAAACAAGAACAGACGAGCCCTTCGGACCTTTTGATAACCTTTTTGTCTGTGTTTGAGACAGAACTCCGTAATCGATAACCACAAAACCGACCGTATTGCATGAATTTACCCTGATCCAAATTCCATTTCACTCAGAAACATTTCCTGTTTATTGAATCAACTTTGTGTGGGTTTTGTAGCTCGTTATAATGCAAATGGAAATTCCTCGCACGATTCGACCCTCCAGTAGGTTAACTCCTTCAAACCTTTGTTTTAAAAATCGGAATCGGTGTTTGGAGGAAGTAGAGAAGTGATAAAAGTGATCAGAAAATTGAAAACCAAATTAAGAACAATCTTGTGATTGAATGACGGTGTGACAATTGTGACCACGAACGGACGCCGTCTATGAGATACCGTTCGTGTCAAAACGAAATAAAATATTACTTTCGCATAAAATGCGCGTAAAAATCAATAACTTAATTATTTGATTAAAACATGTTGCGAACGAGTTACCTTTTGTTTTTAATGTAAAAGTGCATTTAATAGCAGTCTTAGTCAGTTCACTTTTTTGGAGACAGACCCACGTAGTATCAGTTACATCCGTACAGACACGAATGTGAACTGCTGTTGTTTAGGGGTATATCCCGTTGTGGATGATGGTATTGGGGTCTACGTCATTACGTGGCAAACTACAGTCGCCATAAGTCTAACAGGGGGCGGGACTACTGTGGGCTGAATGTGCATTGGGGCATTAATAAAATTAATGTTCTTTAAAACGAAAGGGCCGGTTTCCAAAACGGCCCCTTCTCTGATTCAAATTTCCTGTTGGTGGTGCATTGCCCATGCCGTTGTGGTCACAAATCAATAAAGTATAAAGATTTAGGTCACTTGGTTTGTTTTTTATGTCTCCTCAAAGTTGTACCTTTCAGAAGCTGTCTAAGTGTTGATAAAATGTGCATGTTATGTAAAATATTAATGAAAATCTAATCAAATGATGGTCACCGTAAAGAATACATTCATGGCATGATTGTGACAAAAAATTATGTTTCCATCGCGCCATTTGGCTGTTTTATGGAAGAAACAATCTCAAAAATGCCATTTTCGATGATAACATTTTAGACACAAAAACTGTGTTTTTTAGAGAATACACCCTTTTATGGGCGTTGGATGCAAACCAATTTTTATCCTATTAAACAGTACGTAATATGCTATTGATGAGAGGAAAAATCATCAAAATGTAAGTGGTGGAACATTTTCAAATGTTGGGTTGAATTAGCCTATGGTTGAATTGCCGATTTTCGACTTTCTTTAGATAATTAACAAAAAAACGAGAGTATTTGCTCGGTATGTTGAGAATATGTACACAGATATGAAAAAAAGTGAGAGAAACACTTTTTCATAAAAAAAATCCAAGATGGCTACTTCACAAGTCCCCGTGGTTGAAGACATTGGCTGACAAATAGACAGAACAACAAACAAAACGTGTTCCTTATGATTTTGGTTGGTTTTCGCATTTACGGGAGTGTTCATAGCTACGGGCGATTGTATAATACCTATATTTATAAGTTTGGTTAGTCACATGGTAACGGGGATCTTTCATATCGAGCCCCAAACATACTTTCGACATATGCACTCCGTTGCCGCATGGAAAACTATTTCAAGTTTTGTCGGAATTTCTTTACCTGTGGTTGTAATGGTCGAGGGTTTTCCAGCGTCCTGTAATACCCAAGGTAGTACAAGATACTGGAGATGTGCGCACACATTCCCATCGTTCTCTCTCCAACTGGGCACTGGCAGTAGTAGTCCTTTATTGGGGCCTCAACATCGGGTGAAACGGTGAACCGTATCCAAACGTTATATTTCGTTTGGCTTTTGTGTCGAGAATGTATTTGACATCGGAGAAGGTCTGGGGAGTGCTGGTAAAGCCACACCTCATAGTCTCCGTCATCACTTAAATGTTCGGCGATGTAACCAGGAGCCAGAGATATCTGATACGTTCCACACGTAATGGTTCTCAAGTAATCAAGATCGAGACGGGGAAACAGTACGGAAGATGCATCCATCTTGACAAACTCGGACCTTGCCCGTCTAGATAGATCCGGATCTGTCTTGACTCTCTGAGCTAAACCATTCGGTGTTGTCAAACGGTCCTTCATACGTTCAGCCATTAGCCTATCTTTGGCATCTCTCTCTGGAGATCTCTGGTAGATCGGTCCTCTAATACCATTCAGACAGGCTGTGACGGTTCGAAGCAAAGCCTCGATGACATTGATAAAGCTGTTAGACACCAATTGCGTTCGGAAGAACGTCCAGTGTTTCAGACGACCATGATAGGATTCCACAATCCACCTCGATTTGGTGATAGTTCTGTCAAGATTTGCTTGGACGTCAGAATGTTGACTTTGACCGGGTTTCAGGTATGACGGCATGCTAGCATTGAGGCCAGAGGCTTCGAGAACTGGTAGGACATCTCTAAAACCTCGGTCAACGACAACGTTGTCGTCTGGTTGTAGCCAAGTAACTAGCTTGTCCATGACTTTTTTTGTAATTGTAGCATCATTTTCGCTGCCAGTGAATGGTCCTACTGTGTCCAGAATGTAGCCATCTGGTAAGGCGATGCTCATGAATTTGAGATAGTTTCTCTTCTTCTGGCCACAGTAGGACATTCTCTGGAGCTTGTGGTCGGAGCTTTTCTGGATATAAATATAGGTGCCATCTAATATGGCAGTGGCTTTATCTCCAAAAAATGCTTCTGAAAAGACAGTATTGTGCCCGAGCAACTGTTCTCTTGTCAAGTGATCCGGACCTAGAAATTGTGGGACTATCGATGTGTCTAATGCCTGTACTATGGAGTGGAAAGTTTTGGACACACTTGACTTGGAAATTCCAAAAAGAGAAGAACACTGACTCCAGGAAATGTCGGTTTTCAGTTTTACCCAGAACAGTAATAGAGCATCGTGTGTAGTCTTGGTATATATACCAGATGAAAGATATGGGGAACAGTGCGAGTGGATTTCGAGGAACTGATCTTTGGACCAACCTGTCCAGGCCATGCATGCCGAGTCATCAAGAGAAGAAAAGCTTATTGTAAACGCAGACTGGTTCTGTGAAAGGACGTGCGACACCTCTAGGAGGTCATTAATGATTTCGGACGATTTTGATGGTAACTGAGATTCCAAGGAACCTCTACCATCAAGGACAACCTCTGTAGACGGATCTAAGTCGTTACCAATAAGGTGAATGGAGCAGACGCGGGATGAGGTGGGACACCACAGTTTGTGTGAATAGATCAGGTGATGTCTTGCACGTTTTGGTAAGACTGATGATTTTGTTCCATTTCTTGCAAAGGTAACAAGACAGAGACAGCATTTTTTGTGTGAAGATGATCCATTCAAAAGATCATGAAGGGTCAGCAACGGCAGGATATGGGACGGGGAGTCGTCTTCTTCCTCTATTTCCTGGTTCTGCTCGGGTTCAGGTTCAGGCTGATTTTTGTTCCGAAGATACTTCATGTAGCACTTCTGGCAAATAAGTGCTTGTTCCTTTGCTGACATCAATCCTTGTTGCACCAGCGTATCTAGGAGCCATTTATATTGTGGACTATTTACATTGCGTGCACTTCTGTTCTTATTGCCACTACGTTTCTTGAAGTATACTTGACACCCTTCTCCAACACATTTACCCTCCATCTTGAAACAATAACGATTGGTTTATGAAGCGTCGATAAAGTAACAAAATAGCAAGCCACCGATGATTGCTGTAAACAGCTAATACTTAGTAGTTTGGTACAATTATGCGAAAATGTGTGATAAATAACGAACAACTAATTACACAAAATAACAAGACAATATAATAAATCACATTCAATACCTCCAAGAAGCGCAGAATTGATTGATTACTTAGAACAAAATAAAGTATTTCATATGGATAATCTATCTATTCGATGTGGCGTGGTCGGCAGGCACAAAGAAAGTGAGACAAGTCAGGGTCCCAACCCTGACAGAGCCACAACGCTTTGGAGATGGGACAATAAAACAAGGAAAGTGAGACAAGAATAGCTAGCGTCGAGTCAATGATTCCGTAAACGTATAGACAAAGACAAGAAGATACGGATAAATGTACAAGGCCACACGATCAGAAAATTCAGAAGAGGACAACTTGAGATAGAACAGTATTCATGTATCAGGGTGTCCTCAGTGTAAATCTTTATATCGATACTGTTTATTTAGTCGTTACACATCATAAAACTGTCATGAAAATATCCGCTCTGATATTCAATATAAAAGTTTGTATATAATAAGCTATATAATAGGGTTTCAGACAAGGTTGTTACTCATTTCCCCTTTTCTTTCAATTTACAACCACATTCAGGCGGCGATATGAGAACGTTCCACCACATGGAATTAGCTGATTTTTGGTACACATATGAAACAAGTAAAGCTCTATCCGATTTTCTGATGGAAATTTGCATCCAAAACTATATAACGGGAGAAAATTGCAATTTTATGGCATTTTTCTTCATAATTGTGTCTCTGCAAGTGCATTTTCATCCGAGAATATATTTTTTTATGTTTTATGAATAAACAGGATGTTTTGGAAATATTTATCAAAAGAAATTTATACTATGTTGCAAATTACAATTTCGAGATAACCTTTTATTTACGAACTTATGTCTTTGATGCTGAAATTGACAACTTTATAAAAATACATTTTCACTGAAATTATGAAATCTGGGTGTCGGAAAGGTGTAAAATTATGCTTCGGAAAAGAAAAAAACAGTAGTTGAGCTAGATAAGAAATTATACGGGGGCAGGCTCCTATGGAGAATTAACATTACTGAAAACAGGCCCTTTATTCATTTAAAATG